GATCCAAAATGCAAGGTGCGCAGATTCAGGGCTCCTTCTCTTACAAGTGATGCACAGAAGAGACAAATTCTGGCTGCCCTGGAGGAAAACTACCAAAGCCTCGTGGAAGAGCTATATCTAGGCAATGATTCCGAAGCTTCTGAAGCATTCAAGCAGAGGTGTTCTGGTCTTTTAGAGCGGAATGCAATCTTCCAGCAGAGTGCATTCAAAGACTTTGACAACCCGTCAACAGGAAAGCTCTTCTTGTGTGGTGCTAGCAGGGTTGGAAAGACCACAATAAAAAAAAACCTCTGCCGCATTGTGCTTCAACAGCAGGCATTGAGCTGCAACCACTTGTCTATGCGACCACCAAACAAAAGCTGCTCATTTGCGACCTGGCTGGACAGGAAGAGTCCATGCTTTCCACCAGTACTTTCTCAGAGGAAGTGAGAAGGATCTCTTCTTGATCGTATGCAAGGTGGAGGATGACAATTGTGACGTTTTCAAGCAGAATTTGGTTTACTGGCTGAGGTTCATCGCTTCACATCAATCAGCCTCACCCAAAAGGAAGCCCAGGGTCTTGATTGCCTTGAACTTTTTCACTCTAGAACCCGACTTTGACCCAAAGGAGGTGGTTTCTGCAATAATCTCCGACAAAGACAAAGGCTATGGGCAAGTACTTGAGTTTGGGACAGATATTTGTTTTGAGGTGGTGGCCACTCAAGTGAAAGCTTTAAGGGAGATAAAAACCATGTTGGGGAGTTGCTTGGACGAACTGCTGTCATCCCAGCAACAAATACCACGGGAATGTCTTGAAGCAAAGAGGAAACTGGTACAAGGTGCAAGTCACAAGAAGGTCATACCCCTAGACAAAGTTGGCGAAATCCTCTTGCCTCACAGGAGTTCCGAGAATGTTCTCAAATTTGTCTTGCAATTTCTACATGATTCTGGTGATGCAATTTACTTTGGCTTGGGACATGAAGAGGACGACATTGTGTCTCAATTTGTCATCTTAGATGTCCAATGGTTTATGAGGGATGTGGTGCAACTCTTCATACATACTGAGACAAGCAAACTCAAAAGTAAAATGGAAACACATAGAGTTAAACATCAGTTGAAGCAACAATGTGGGAACCAAGACAAAATAGAGGAGTACATTCTTGGAGTGCTCCATGAGATGGGAGTGATATTGCCTTGGGATGATACATGGGATGGGAATTGGCATAACTTGCCCAAAGAGTTGATAATGCCAACACTATTGCAAGAAGACTATTCACCTCCAGGATATTTATTGTCAATTAACACTCAAAAAAACCACAACTACTGGGGCAGGAGGTTTGAATGCAAAGACAAGGACCTGAAATTGTTTCCTGCAAGTATTTTCACAAAGATCCAAGTTAAGCTTCACAAATTAAGCAAGAAAGGTTTCAGGCTTGGGAATGGATGGGTGGCTTTGAAAAAAAACCTTATCGAGATAATTGTGAGAGTTGGGGGAGACACAGACAATTGGAAAGATAGGCAATGGGTTGATGTCATCATTTACTACCCAAAAGAGGTAGAGAATACACTAAGGCCGGATTTGGAAAAGGAAGCTGAAGGATGGATGGAAAAAATTAGAAATTGCATTATTGGGGTATGTATGGAGGATTGCCCATCTTTGGAAATTGAAGAAAATGTGATGAGACGTGGTTATGTATGGAGAAGGATACTAAATAAGGTGGACAAATTAGAATCATGGGA